GGATTTTTAATTTATTATTTTTGGTTAATTGATGCGTGTTGTGACCTGTGAGGATGATGGGATGATTGTGTTTCTCGGTAAGTTAGATAAGAAAGATTATTTTTCATGCATGAAGAACATTTTCATGCCTATTTGTTGATTCGTTGATTTTCCTTTTGCAAATTAATTATAATTGAATAACAAGAGGAAGTATCTAGATTTTCATCGAGGTAAACGACACCAATTGTTTAAATAATTAGATGTAAAACAACTTTGCCACGAGTGATTAAAGATTCATTGCTAAATGACAAGAACATACATTTTCATAAAATAAATACTTCAACATTATTCAAGATAGATGACAATACAAAGTTCTACAAATTATTAGTTGCCAATTCATATTCATCCCTTAGTTGTTTAGCTTCCACATAACTTGATTTCGCTATATGTACCTTCAATATTAAATCAAATGATGAATATATAACACTGAAATTAAAATTAAAACTTGTTTAGCAAATAAAAAATAAAAAATTATATTTGATAACAAGAAGATTATAATTCATACTTCAGATTAATTTACTATAAACTTTTGGAATTATTATTTTATATGGGTGATGAGTGCTAAATTGTTGAGAATTCGAATGTGAATAATTAGTATTTATTAGCTTAATTCGTTTCCGTTTTGTCCATAAATCTCAACTGTAGTGTATATTCGGTATAATTTACGTTATAGTGTATTTATTGTGCTATTGTATAAATATTATTGAGTTTAATTGATTTTATCTTATTTTTGTAGGTATCCAAGCATTGATATTTAGACATTGCTAGATAGAACATTGAATAAGCTTTCCAACGCTTCTGATCGGGCGCGAATCACAATTACGGTTTAAAAGTTATGGCTGAAACAATGCAGAATATTAGGTTGGTTTTTCAACTTTCTGTCATCCGTCGCCGGGCGACGCTTTTGGTTGTCGTGCAACGCTAGGCGACCTGTAGTGTGGAAAAAACATTATTTTGGTCGTCGGGCAACACTTTTTGGTCACCGGGCGATGCTGGACAGTCAGAAACACGTATTTAGGTGTAAAAACACATTTTTTGGGTATGGTTTTGGGTATTTTTTACCTCCCAACTACATCAAACTTCGTTCTTTGATAGGATTAGCTTAGAAAACAACATTGAAGCTTGCATACAGATGATCCAGGGTGGATTGTCCATCAATCGGCGCTGACAAACCGAGAGATTTGTGGTTCATTTCTCTTACTCTTTGTGTATTCTTTATGTGTTGAGTTTGTACATGTATTTACTTTGAACTTGTGAATTCTTTAGAAATGACTTAGGTTGTGAGTGATAAGCGGTGACATTATTGAGTATTGTTAGGTTGAATGTAACTGGTCGATAGATTTAAGTCAGTGATGAGTAGATTATATGCAGACTTGATAATTCTTCCTTAGTTTTTACTTTTGTTTATGTTTATTTTCTGTTGATAACATTTTCTTTACAAACCAATTTATCTCCAAACTCATTAACGAGAGATTTGTCGAATGACAATTCAATAACCAATCTCTATGGACACGATAAATTCCCAGATAAATATTTCCAAAACTTTTGTTGCTTGCCGCTATATCGCTTCCAAACAAAATAGTGCCGTTGTCGGGGATTGGTTCTATTGTTTTTTCATTGCGATAATTCTTTTGTTTTTTAGTTTTGTAGTTAATGCATATGTTGTATAGAAATTGTATATTAACTTGTATATGATATTTGTGCATATATGTGTTTTCACGTATTGTTGTAAATTGTCTCGTTTTCGTAACATTTGTTGTGTGATTGTTAGGACACTTTCACTAGGTTTGCGCGGTGTGACAATACCATGGCATGATGAGAAGAGGTTACTAGCATGCACAATAAAGGCGTCGAGCTTACGACGTAAAACAAGCATGTTTGTTTGTATTTGTTTATGCGTGGGGTGATTTGTGTTTTAACAAGTTGAAACAAGGAAATGTTATGAATTTCAAATCTTCACTTTTCAACTTGTTAATTCATTTTCACCCAGTTTTCATATTGTTATTTGTATTTGTTTTGTTATGTCAATTTGTGTTTTTCGGAAGCTTGTCGTGTTTAGCTTGAGGAGTTTTGTCTGTTGTATATATTATAAACTTTATACATTAAAATTTTATAGGAGTATTATTTTTCTAATTCTTTTGTTGTTTGTTATCAAATTTTGGTCCGGTAACTTGAAGATTTTTGAGGTAATTTTCCGAGTTTGATCATTTCAACTCGCAAATGTATGGTAATGATATTATTTTGAAGTTGGTTTATGCCAGGTACTCGTTTATCGCTTTCTATAACATAACATGTTTAGGAAACTTTTCATTTGTATAATTACCATGCCGTTCATTCTTTTTACATTGCTTGCTCATGACTTGAATCACTTTAGTTCTCTTTTTACCCATAAATGTGAGGAAGTTTTCCATTGTTCATATATGCTGGAGGCTACAATTCTTGTTTTAACGGGATTTTATTATGTTTAATCTTTTGTTTGTGTTGATTGTATGAATGTATGAAAGTGATCAAGATATTTTGTTTTATTTTGAGCACAACTACCTTGACCAAATATTTAATTCACCTTGGGAGTGTTTGATCATTTGTTATCCCCTTTGAGCTTTTGTCAATATCCATGTTTATTTGATCTTGATGTTTGTCTATGAGTGTTTAGTTCACCTTTTTTATGGATGTTGATTCTTTTATTTCTTGAATCCTCAACTATTTGTTGTTGTATGAATTTTTATCTTGCCTTAGAAAGTGGGGAGTATTCACACATTAATGTTGATTGAATTCAAGTTGAAGAGAGCAATGTTTGCTCATTTATAGTGAGGTTGCTATGAGGTTGAGAAGAAGAAAGAGAAAAGAAAAAAAAAGTGAAAAAGAAATATTAGAAAAAGAAAGAATAAAAGATGAAAAAGATTTGAAAAAGAAAAACTAAAAGAGTATGGAATAATATTGTGTTGAGTAAGTGATTTTTGTTGGTTTAGACTTTGTGAGTAATTACTCCCTTAGATTTAGACAAGTTTTTATTTCGATTAGCTTTAGGACTTATCACTTGTTTATTAACCAAGCCACATTACAACCTTGAAAAGCCCTTGTGATTATTGCCTTTGTATTTTCAATATGAGTTTTTGGATGAATGCATAATTTAGTCTATTATTTGCAAGATTATGGATGAGTGTCAAAAATTCTCACCATTGTATGTTTTTCACCTACCGATGAATGTTTGCTAAGTGTAATTCATGATTGAGCTTGTTTTGTTTTAGAATGTTTAGTAAGATTTTTGTACTTAGGATTCGTTTCACTTACATGTTATCTTTGTAGTTTAGTGGTAAGTTTTTGCCTTGTGTGTATGTTTTTATTTTGAACCATACATTTGTTTTCCGTTTTCAAAAACTTGTTGATTCGTGATTCTTTGATTATCGTCTTTTGCTTCTTTAAGTTTATTTGACTTTGTTTGAGGATAAATAATATTTTAAGTTGGGGAGAGTTTGATGAGTGCTAAATTTTTGTGAGTTTGAGTGTGAATAATTAACACTCATCGGCTTAATTTGTTTTTTGTCAATAAACCTCAATTTTAGTGTATATTCGGTATAGTTTACGTTATAGTGTATTTATTGCGTTATTATGTAAATATTATTGAGTTTAATTGATTTTATCTCATTTTTGTAGGTATCCAAGCATTGATATTTATACATTTTTAGATAGAGCATTGAATAAACTTTCCAAAACTTTCGACCGGGCGCGAATCGAAGTTACGGTTCAAAATTTATGGCTGAAATAGTGCAGAATGCTGTGTTGGTTTTTCAACTTTCTGTCATCCGTCGTCGGGCGATGCTAGGCAAGCTGTAGCGTGGGAAAATGCTATTTTGGTTGTCGGGCGACACTTTTTGGTCACCGGGCGATGCTGGACAGTCAGAAATGCGTATTTAGGTATAAAAACACATTTTTTTGGTATGGTTTTGAGTATTTTTTATCCCAACTCCATCAAACTTCATTCTTTGATAGGATTAATTTAGAAAACAACATTGAAGCTTGTATACGAATGATCCAGGGTGGATTGCTCATCAATCGGCGCTGACAAATCGGGAGATTTGTGGTTCATTTCTCTTCCTCTTTGTGTATTCTTTATGTGTTGAGTTTGTACATGTATTTACTCTGAACTTATGTATGTTTGTCGCCCATGACATTATATTGAACTTGCTTTACAAATCTTTGTCGATTGTTGTCCTGAATTTTTGCTCTGTGCTAGGGATTTGAGTTGTTATAGACATATACTGCTTAGATTCTTATCTAGGATGATTATCTGTTAGTTTCTGAACTCTAGAGATAGATGTAGAGCTGACATCTACTTGGGTATCAGAGCTTAATGCCTCAGTGTTGTTGTGATGTGCTGAGAGATCGTCAGTGCGATTACATAAGTTGTCTTTTGTGTTGTTGAGGAGATAGAGAGATCGTTTCCTTGGTGATACAGTCGGTCTCTCGATGTGGGTTAGAAATAACTTAGGTTATGAGTGATACGTGATGACATTATTGAGTTTTGTTAGGTTGAATGTAATTGATCGATAGATTTAAGTCTGGGTAGATTATATGCAGGCTTGATAAATTCTTCCTTAGTTTTTACTTTTGTTTACATTTATTTTCTGTTGATAACATTTTCTTTACAAATTTATTTATCCTCAAACTCATTAACGAGAAATTTGTCGAACGATAATTCAATAATCAATCTCTATAAACACGATAAATTTTTAGATAAATATTTTCAAAACTTTTGTTACTTACCGCTACACCACTTCAATAATAAATATATGAAAAATGTGGCAATGTGAAAGTCTCATCACTTATACTTATTATAAACAAAAACATATATACAGTTTCAGAGACAGTTCTTACTATTCTCTACTAAAATACAATATATATAATTTCAGAAGATCACATACCTTGTATTTGTATTGATAATAGTACTGACAATGATGATTTTAATAATAGAAACTCCCTGTAGATGAATAGATAAATAAAAATTATAAAATAATGAGAATGTTGATATTAAGTCACATCACATCATACAGTATAAACCATGTGCAAACTTTTAGACAAAAAATCTACTATAAAAGTTTATGTCACACCTTTCCACCAATCTCCTCTTGAAGCAATTCTCATATCATCTTCTTCTGCAACACTTTTGGGCTATTAGGCAAAAAAAAAAATTACTCTATTATTAAGTATTCTCAACACTAGAAAATAATATATTCATTTTTTGCTTAATAAAATAAAATAATAATCATAATTTTTGCTTAATAAAAAATATTACTATGTTATTAAGTATTCTCAACACTAGAGTTTTGTTTTGTGTGAATCTTCACTTTTCAAGAACTTAGATGAACCAACCTCTATAAAATATAAAAAATATATTACTATTTACCAATAAGTTTTTCCCATAATTTTGAGTACTTTGAGCGTAATGAATAATATCTTGGCCACCATAAGATAATGATGAGCTGAGATTGCATGGCTCAGTTCTTTGATCTTGATATATGGAACTCTTATCTGTAGTTTGTATTTTCTGAGATCCACCACCACAAGCCTTGAAAATGACATCTATGTTCATATGAAAAGTGAGAAAAAAATATTTATGATGTAGTTATTAATTAGGTCACTTTGTCAAAATTTTATCTTAAAATATTTAATTTATATGCAACAAAAATTCAAAGTTTTTTTATACCCTTAGCCAATCATTAGATCTAGAAAAAGATTGACTTAGGATATATCTAACTTAAGAAAATGATACATAAACATAGTCTAAAAGAGTGTGTATATATATAAACATACCAGGTGTTCCTAGTATAGAGTCCCATTTCTCCTTGATAGCTTTGTTCCTCACTTCATTAGGGGAGGGAGATGATAATATGGAGCCAAAAACTCCAGAAGAAGAAGATGAGTGTGTCTCTTTGGTGCCAAAGAGTTCAGAAACAAATGAGGAAGAAGAATCATTTTGGTTACTTTTTCTTTCCATTTTCTTATTATATTGTTATCAAAATCACTACTTCAACTCTTGGTATAAACCATGTGAGAGTGTTTGTATATGGTTTGTATATATAGGCAAATTTTTCAACCATTGTTTTTGTCTAATAAAATGCCTTAAAATAATGAAAGGACGATTATTTTTTTATTGGGAAAAAGTATTAAGAAAGAGAAAGCGTAATGGAAGAGAAGTGAGTAAGTAAAAGGAAATAGAGAAAAAAATATAAGTGAGAATAAAATGGGATTTCTGTGTATTAATTTATTCTTGACTTGGAATTTTAATTTAATTTTCCACGAGGGATCAAGGTGGAAAACGAGCACGAGGAGAATCATTGCACTGGATTTTTATTTCTCTTATTACTTGTTTTAACATTTGTTCTAAAAACAAAGCCATGTGTGGCATAGTAGTTATCTATTGGTTGGGACCAATGTGTCTTTTACTTATTTGTCTTTTTATAATGTGGAAGAAGTAACATTTGCATGTGTGTGTTTTTTTGTATTGACTATTGACACTATTTTTCCAACCGTTAGTGACCACAGATTTACGCCATACTCTCTCTTAAGAAGTTTAGTAGTCTAAATATCATTATGTAATGAAAGGTTACAAAATAGCATATAAAACCTTCAACAACAACAACTAGAGGGAAACAAACATGAGGGTATAGACACCTTATAGAGTCTCATCTATTGATATCTGGAAAGTGCCAGTCATAGAGAAGTTTAAGTGTCCATTGTTGGTATTTTTCGAAAGAGGACCATCTATAATATATTGATATTGATGAAATAAATGATCAAATAAATCATAATTCATGTCAAGAAAAGTCAAATAATTTTTAAATATTTTTTTAATGTATAAAAAGTATTTTTAAACTAATTAAATACATGAAAAAAATTAAAGAAAAATATCAAACCATAAAATAAAAGTGTGAAAAAAATAACACAAGATGTAAAATAATAAAAGATAATTTTCTAAATTTTTATATTTTTTAGAGTAAAATCTGATTTAAAATCATTTTTATAAAAGAAAAAGAAATAAAAGTAAAATAAAAAAATATAATAAATGAGAAAAAGTTGTAGTTATTGGATCTACATTGACTGATCAAAGTAAATGCATCAAGTTGATCTGGACAGAAAGTGCACCATGGACTTTCATTAAAACAACACACTAAATCCAATTTAAACAGGCCAATAAAATTAAAACGCTTGTCATGCTTCGATTGGCTAATAGCTCAAAACGCATACAAACCACCATCAATCCTTCTCTGGTCGTCTTCTCCAGTAAATTAATAATCGGAGTTTGGAAAGTGGCAAGTTCAAGGGACGAAACCACCACCTTTACAACCGTCTCATTGAAGCGAACTCAACCCTATGATTCACTTTCATTGACTTGAAAGTGGGCATGGAGAATTTTGAGAAAAACTCAGTGAAAACATAAAATGAAAATCAAAATTAAACTCTGTATATGAAGAATAAAAGCAAAGTAAAGTATGGAAAAGCATTAGAGAACCATAAGCTACATAATAGTAACTTGTTTCAGTCTAAAAGGTTCTCAAAACTATCTTGTCCAAGTGATGCTCGAAGGTGCTGAAAGTTGAACTTGGCCAGGACGTTTTAGTGAGTCTGAAGGCCTGGTTCTTGTTACAATAGCTTCAGGAGATATCACAGATGCGAATGGAAACAATAAATGGTGTTGAAAATGCTTGGAAATGAATCATGATCTCAACATTTTTGGAGAAAAATTCTAAGTTTCAGTAGGGTTTTGAGGGGCTTTCAAAGCTTGATTTGGAGTGCAGAGGTTTGCTCTATTTATAACTGAGGTGAATAAATCTCATACATGTGAAAGTTTGTTGCAATTCGGAATCAAGTGTGAGCAATCTTGAATGAAAAGGCCTCAAAATGTAGTGCATTCCTTCTGATTTTGGATCGTTTTTTATCACTATGCATCACTTAACATCACTAGGTACCAATCATGTGCACATTTGGGCTTGAATTGGAGAAATGAGTCACTTCAATTTTCGGTTTCAAGAGCATAATGCAGTTTCATGTGGCTAACTTCAAAGCATTGTGAAATTGTGTATACTTGACCATTACCTTGCATTCCTTTTGCTAAATGATCATATAATAACATAGAGTATAATGTAAAAAGAAAGGTTTTATTTGGACACTTGAGAAAAAAGATATGAGCTGGTAAAGTTGGCATCATGACTTATAATTAGAGGTAAAAAATATTCTAAGTTCAAAATGACTAATAATATCTAAATCCTTTTCATGACCTTTCAAGCATAATTAGCTCTTGACTTGTAAAGAGAACTTGTAGGAAATGTCAACAAGAGTGACTTTCCCAAAGAATCACTAAAAAATGTTTAAAAAAATGAATGAGTTATGATATTTTGAAGTTGAACTTGAAAAGTTGACCTTTTAGGTCAAACCACATTGAATAAACTTGCAACCTTTACCCTTTTCTTGCATTTCAAGGCACGTTTTTCATCATATGAACTCCACATGATGGATTCTTGATTGAACGTTGATTAAAATTGCAACAAAAAAAAAACATGAAGAAACTTGATAAATAAGGCATGGAAATAAAAACATGAACCTTTGAAGTATCTTGAGAAACAAGCAATCAAATTCTTGAACTATTTTGATCAAATCATGTTGAATGATGCTTGAGAAGAATTCTCTTTGATTATGAGTCAAAACCCTATATGAAATAGCCTTTGAGGATCAATGGTTGACCATACTTTGATTTGAGGAACTCAAAACCCTAGCCGAGGAAACATCACTTGATGCTCTTGATTCAAAACCCTACCTTGCAAAAGAAACAAAAGCAACAAGACATATTTTTGTATTTTCATTATGGTTAGTAAAGCATAAAGCGTATAAATGCAAAAGTAAGAGATACACAAAAGGGTGCTTGATGATCTCTACAAAATCATACCAAAAGATGAGAGAGATAAGAGGCAACAAAGTTTATGATCTTGATGCAATGCAAAAATGCAAATGAGATGGAATCTTAGGGGTAAAAATTAAGGTATAACACACACCTAAGAATTTCAGACCCATGGCCCTTTGCAATGTAATCATGAAAATGGTTACTAAAACCATAGCTAACAGACTTAAACTCATCCTTCCACACATCATAAGTGCCAACCAAGGTGCTTTCGTTCAACAAAGACTCATAATTGATAACACTGTGATAGCCTATAGATCTTCAATTACATATATAATTCTGCTAAAAGAAAAAAGGGCAGTGCTGGCATAAAACTTGATATGGAAAAATCTTATGATAAACTTGAATGGAATTTTATAGAAAAAACTCTCATCACTATTGGGTTTTCCATAAACACTGTAAAAATTATCATGATCTGCATAAACACAATCACTTTCTCGATCCTGATCAATGGCTATCCACATAGATGTTTGCCCCTTCCAGAGGCATTAGACAGGGCGACCCTTTTTCTCCCTATATTTTTATATAAGGTGATATCATATTTTATAATCTTATAACTAAAACCCATAACAATAACAACTTTGATGGGATCAAAATTTAAAAAGAATGCACCACACATAAATCACCTTTTCTTTGCAGATGACAACTTAATTTTCTGCAGGCGGAGGATTAGAAGCACAAACTCTTCTCAATATCATCAACATTTATCAAGATAGCTCGAAGAAACATATTAATATCAAAAAGTATGAGATGATGTTCAGTAGGGAAACAAACCAGAACAACCAAAACAGATTTCATAACATTCTTGGTATTCCTAAAGTTGACCAAATTAACACCTACCTGGGGATGCCGACGCACATAAGGACATCGAAGAACATTAGTTTCAACTTCATCTTGGATATAGTCAGGGCTAAACTCAATAATTTGATGGACAAAAAGACACCGTACACTGGCTAGGCCATATTAGTTAAGGCAGTTGTTCAATCCATTTCTACTTACATTATGAGCTTATTTCTTCTTTCTAAAGGGCTATGTAAGAAGATGGAGAGCCTTATTTCAAACTATTGATGGGGTAACAAAAAAAGCATTGGGCCAAATGGACTAGACTCTGATATCTTATTCTTCATCCATCCATTTGTTATGTCTCAAGAGATAACATAGAGCTTACATCTCATAACATAGTATCCACAAGAATGGTAGTCAGGTTGTTCTTGCCACTACGAATAATTTTCATATACTTAGTGTAGCGATAGAAATATTGAGACAAAGCCATTAGATTGACTTAACTCACACATATCAAAATAAAAATCGCCACTGCGCTTTATTTTTTCCAAAAGAATAGGAAAAGAGCGAATAACCCAAAAAGAGGGGAAGAAAATATAAGTTCGGGGGTTGGTTATGTAAAGAGAAGATATTAGCATCCTAAATATCTATGGTACTCCGCAAGAACCTCTTTGAAAATTTGTGTATTTTGGCTATAAATGTTGTATACAAAAATGGATTGTGGGGATGAGGAAGAAGTATTTTTTTTAATGATTTTTGCACCCGCCGCAGTTGTGAACCTTTAGTGCCTATGTACCACCTTTCATGAAATAGGGGATCAGGGTACTCGTAGTTCACCTTTTAAAAATTTTAAAACACAAATGTGTTGGTTAATTTTAGGAGATGAGACGTCATCATCATTGTCCGAGTGGAAAACATACTTACTACCCACAATTATGAGAAAGGAGAATTTTCGTCATCTCAAAGTGGAGGATATAGCTTGGATTTTAAAATCAACAAAAGCCTCACTCAACACCCAAGTGAAAAATATCTCACTTCACTATATATCTTAGAAGTATAGTTGTTTGCATCACTACAATGATTGACAAGAGTCTAACCTTTTGAGAAACTTTTTAAAGATAAAAGCCAAAATGGAAAAATAGTTTGAATGATATTGATTGACTTTTAGTCTTCTCACAAAAATGTCCAAGTATTATTAAATTGATTAAAGTTTGATTAAGAAAAGATTTTTGAAAATGCATGGACCTAAGTCCAAGTTT